CCCCAATAAGGTACCCCTAATATCGTAATCCCTCATAGGGTCACTTCTCTGCATGGTGGTCCCCTTTTTGGGAGGCCTTGTCATAGTAACCTTAAACGGGATAATAGTTTAGACAAGTTACGATTATCAGGGTTTACGAAAATAAGCGACCCGGACCCAAGAAGGTACCGTGCTGAAGGGCTTTGATCGGCTTAAGCCTAAACCAGAAAGGCTTTCGGGCTTCAGGGCTTCAAGGCATGTTGGTATCTTCCCTTCCTTTGGGTTTGTAGTCAGCCATGTAACCTTGCAAATACTCCATCACGCCTAGTCAAGATTCTGCTTCAACATTTCCACAAGTGGATCATCGATGTTGCGCAACTTCGGACCGAATACTCATCAACTAAGGTGCTGTTGGCCGATCTCTAACGGGATCTGGCAGGAGCCTGCCTGAAGTGAAGTATCTGACGTACCATGTGGGGGTTTACGAAAATAGGGGACCCCCCAATATAGGTCCCCAAAAAGTATGGGTACTAAACCCTAAACCCTAAACCCTTGACCCCCTAATAAGAGTGAGAGACCCCAAAAAGGTACCCCCTAACTTCGGAGACGCCCCCATGTCAAAACCTAACTCCCGACTCCCAGCTTCGCGAATATTCTCCCCATCCCGTTGAAACGCCCCGGAGCATCTCAAGAGGGTTTAGGGTTTAGGGTTTAGGGTTTAGGGTTTAGGGTTTAGGGTTTAGGGTTTAGGGTTTAGGGTTTAGGGTTTAGGGTTTAGGGCCCCAAACTGCAGAGGATCCAACATTCCGGAGTCCGGCGTCCGGCGAGCCTCCATGAAGGTCAGGAGACCGACGACTGCTCCGGATGCCTCTGAGGATTGCAGCCTCGACTGCGCACATGATCTAGGGTTTAGGGTTTAGGGTTTAGGGTTTAGGGTTTAAGGTTTAAGGTTTAGGGTTTAGGGGCTAAGGTTTACGGCTCAGCGAGCTGCCACAGGCGCGGAACGGGGTGTGTGAGAATCGCGCACGTGAAAGACTTCCGCAACCCCAAATGCCAAAAGAGCGGCAAAACCCAAAAAAGCGGCGGGCGCAATCACACTCGCTCAGGTCGAGGCAAGGCTGCGCCGAAAAAGTTTGACTTGCGGTGCCTCTCGGCAGCTCTCCACACCTCGCGGTCAGTAGCTGGCCTTCAGCACCTTCAGTTGAGGGCTTAGGGTTTAGGGTTTAGGGTTTAGGGTTTAGGGTTTAGGGTTTAGGGTTTAGGGTTTAGGGTTTAGGGTTTAGGGTTTAGGGTTTAGGGTTTAGGGTTTAGGGCTTTTTTTTTGGGTTTCGAACTCTAACCACATCTTGGCCTCCTGGGGGATGTCCAGCTTCTTCTCTACCTGCTTAGGGTTTAGGGTTTAGGGTTTAGGGTTTAGGGTTTAGGGTTTAGGGTTTAGGGTTTAGGGTTTAGGGTTTAGGGTTTAGGGTTTAGGTTTTTTCCGAGCCCTTCAAAGAATTGCACGGGACCAGTGCAGTGGCAAAGCAGGAGGGTGGGGCAAGGCACTAAACCCTAAACCCTAAACCCTAAACCCTAAACCCTAAACCCTAAACCCTAAACCCTAAACCCTAAACCCTAAACCCTAAACCCTAAACCCTAAACCCTAAACCCTAAGAAGGGCGCCTGTGGAGATCTCGGCCCACCCTGGGGCGATAGCTTTGATTGCATCTTCGGGGTGGACCTGACAGGGGCATCGAAGGCAGGGTTTAGGGTTTAGGGTTTAGGGTTTAGGGCTTAGGGCCCTTGAAGAAGGCGTCCAAAATCTCTCAAGAATCTAGGACCAACTTGGGTTTGGAGATCAGCCTGGTACTCCTTACATTTCTGTGGCTTTCTGATGCCTGGCCTCGCGCTCGAGTTGGGCGAACGCCTGGAGATTCACCGCAAAGGATCTCGAATGCTTCTACACAGGATGTAAGCGTCACAGCTTCTGGATTCTGGACGACCCAAATCAGTGAAGTGCGTGGCCAGCCATGCCAAGCCAGCGTGATTGTTGTAAATGTCGCAGCCAAGAGCAGCACCGATTTCTGCAAACTTTGGCCACGGAGGCATCCGCGCCGGCCTGGAGCCAGTGAGGTTTGAGGTTTGAGGTTTCGGGTTTGGGGTTTAGGGTTTAGGGTTTAGGGTTTAGGGCTCAGGGTTCAAGGCCGAGCGGTTCTGCAGCTGCGCATGGGCTCGGATCTTTAGCCTTCCCTGACTCTTGAAGCCCCTCAACTCCCCCTCACCCCCTTCTTAGGGTTTTAGGGTTTAGGGTTTAGGGTTTAGGGTTTAGGGTCAACCCAAAACCGCTAAATAGCCTTAGACCGCAAATCCGGAGCCACTATACTGCTGCAAACCCTAACCCTTTTTTGCCAAGCGCCACACGGCGAGGGTGGCATCTGCTGAAGGGGGCAAGAGCACGTTTTCCAAGCCTTGCATAGACAGGTTTTGCTGGCGTCGGCGTTGAGGGGTTTTCGGGGGCGCAGCAACCCTACACCCTACACCCTAAACCCTAAACCCTAGAAAGGGGTTTCAATGTTGAAGGGTTTCTTCGGAGTCGTCAAGGCTGGGCGCCCGGGCTGTGCCCATCCGAGGCCTCACCAGAGAGCTGTGCATCGTAGCGCCCGGCCAGCAGCTCCTGTGACGTACGTGGAGGGTCATGGGTGGTTAGAAGGGGGGGTTGTAGAGTAAGGTAGCTAGTGGCTATAACAGGTTATAATCTTTTGTAAGGTATTTATAACTTATAACCCTGAAGAAAGATACCCATGAACCTCCATAACCAGACAGAGTTCTGCAGCTTGGTGAAGCCGCGTGCTCCTCTTGGAACCACGTCCAATGCATGCCCAAACTGGCTCTCAAGACCTCGACCTGCAAGGGCGAAGAGTGCCATTCGGGGTGAAGAGCTACATGCTGCAGCTGCCATGAACTTCTCTGGCTGATGCGAAAGATGCAGCGAAAGCAGTCATCAATGTAGCAGTCCTACCGGAGTTTCAGGATGAGCTGTCTAGGCAACCCCTGTGATCCTCACCACGCAAGCTCAAGTGCTCCTTTTCAGCCCTTTTTCCCCATCTGCACGGGATATCGGCGCGAAGGGCATTAAGTAAATCACTTTGAGCGCTCAAAGACAGAATCCCGGGACGGCGTGGGGGCCTTACAGAACCCCGACGAAAAGGGGCCTTGGGAGCTTTTAAGTAGAGGAGCACACAGCTGGATGGAGTTCTGCCGCCCACTTGCGCCACGGAATCTCGTCCCTGGCCGGCAGAAAACGGCCAGCAACGGGCTGAACAGCTTGCCATGCTTGGAGACTCATATGAGTAATTATAAGTAGGGTTATAAGTGCCCCGAAATAAGGTTATCAGTATAGTTATCCTACTTCTAATCCCACTCATAACTACCCAAATGAGCCCTCCAAGTGGAGCCTGATTTCAGGCTGTGGCACCCTGGGACCCAGCAGCCTTTCGGATCAACCAAGCTTGCCGATCTGTGCCTGAAGGCTCGAAGGATGGACGCCCAAAGCTCGTGCTAGGCTCCTCCTAGGCCTGACCACCTTGCCTGAACCACGCACATTCAGCAGCTGGATCTCGCTCAGTCTGTAGAGGTGGGAGTATCGTGGGTAAAAATGAAGGTCGCTCGCTGGGTGCACCTTCTTGGCCAGGTGAACGATACTTTTGTGAAGCACCTTGGTGTCAACACGACCATGTACTCAGGCATGTGACGTGCCTGTACTCGTCCACCGTAGCTTGCCAAGTCCCCCTGCATTCTTACACACCAGGGCCCCGACCGAATCCAACAGCCCAGCAACTGTGAAGATTCCACCCACCACTGCGCAGATCTGGCCAAAGCATGCATGCAATTTTGCATCATTCCCTCTCATTGTTCTTTCCGCAGCTTCTCATCAAGAGTGAAAATAAGAATCCGTTGCTTGTTGTTTGTAGTGGAATTGACAGAGAGAGTGGCGGCCGTCGCGTACCAACGATGGATATAGCTACCGACTGCTAACGACTAGCTACATACTACTACCACTGCACCACTACACCACTACACCACTACACCACGACACCACGACACCACGACACCACGACACCACGACACCACGACACCACGACACCACGACACCACTACACCACTACACCACTACACCACTACACCACTACACCACTACACCACTACACCACTACACCACTACACCACTACACCACTACACCACTACACCACTACACCACTACACCCACACACACACACAGGAACGACTCCCACGACTCCTGCTGCTCCTACAAGGGTCGCGTGAGTTGGGGACATACAATGGCATGTCGCCAACAGAAAACATTGCTGCTCACCAAGTGAGTCTCAGCCCCTGCATCATGAGGCCATGCAAATTTCGAGTGCGAAGCATTGTGTATTGATGGGCACGAAACCCCATCGGCCGACAACGCGCGAACCCGACGCAAAACCCTGACAGATGCCGGAAAGCCTGTTGCACACCACGCCAAACAACCAAAAGCAACCAGAACAACACACCCCCATAATAATTTAGATCATGCTGAAAGCATGGCCAAACCCTGGTGCACGCGAAGTCGACTTGGGGGAACTACCTAGTACTACTCCTACTACTCCTAACTACTACTCCTACTGCTGTTGCTCCTCCGGCTGCGGCTGCGGCTGCGGCGGCTGCTGGTACTGCTCCAGACCCGCTCGTCATACAAGGATGACGACGACTTCTTTTCTCTACCTACCTTGCCAACTCATGTTCGCTTCGGCGCCTGCACGACGAAGTGGGACAAGGTCTCCTTCGCAGGCAACGAGGAGCTTGAAGGGTACTTGGAGGTTCATGGTACTTCTTAACCAACTATAACTGTACCTATATAACCCACTTATAAGCCTCTTAAGTGCCCTGATATGGGTAAAGGTACAGGTATAAGTAAATAACTACCATGAACCTCCAAGTAGGGTCGGCACCGTGATCTCCCCCTCCAACCAGCGAATGCTCAGGAATAGGCGAGATTGCTTTACTGCAGGTCCTTTGTCTCGGTATAGCGCACCGTCACCGGCGAAAAGTCATACCGGAGGTACAGCGACCTGCTCGAACATTTTGGGGGAGCTGAATAGGCTGGCAAGGGGCCCTCACACTTCCTTCCTCCCATCGCAATCACTGGGTCTGGCACGGCATCTGCTGGTTGACTATTTTGTTGGAATTAGCAGTAAACCTGGGCCGGAACGATTGCCGTGCCTGACTGTTCGCAAGTACCTTCTGCCTGTTTGCACTGCAGTCATGGTGCTAAGTGCATGCAAGAAACTGGTAAACATGAACAGGAGAGCCATCCAGCGGCACATAGGTGGTGGGAACCTGAGCGCAGGCCAGTCTTGCTCTACGCCTGTGGACACCACGCGCCCTGAGCCAAAGGCCACTTTCGTGTAATACTCGTAGATGGCAGAGTCCACGAACCCTCCATAGGACCAGGTTCCTCTTGGAGCAACAAGCAACACAAGGCACAAGCACCTACAGTACCTTCATTCCGGAATCTGGCTACATGCGACTTCGCCCAGGTTGAGGTGGTCCCCCACACACAAAGCTTCACAAACAGGCGCTTATCCGCAAGTCGTCCGTCAAGCAATGAAAATCGCTTGCTTCGCCAAGTCGCCGAATTTGGAATCGGCCTTCTCCTTAGGCCTTCAGACGTGCGGCAGTCTCGGGTAAACCCCTGTGAGCACTTATGAAAGTTTTCAGGGTGCGACTCGCTCTTCTCGTGGATCTGCACGACGCCATCGAGCGGACTTACGATGCCCGTACCCTGGAAGTTGCTCTTGACCTCTGGCGCCCAGCGACGTCCATGCAAGCGCTACGACAGCCCACTTGCAAGCTGCACACACGTGCACACACCTGCACACACACACACACACAAACACACACACACACACACACACAGAGAGACACACACAGACACACACACAGACACAACACACACACACACACAGACACACACAGACACACACAGACACACAGACACACACAGACACACACAGACACACACACACACACACACACACACAGACACACAGACACACACACACAGACCACACACACACACCCACACACACACACACACACACACACACACACACACACACACACACACACACACACACACACACAACACACACACACACACACACACACCACACACACACACACACACACACACACACACACACACACACACACACACACACACACACACACACACACACACACACACACACACACACACACACACACACACACACACACACACACACACACACACACACACACACACACACACACACACACACACACACACACACACACACACACACACACACACACACACACACACACACACAGACACACGCACGCACGCACGCAAGCACGCACACACAGACACACACAGAACACACAGACACACACAGACACACACAGACACACACAGACACACACACAACACACACACAGACACACACAGACACACACAGACACACACAGACACACACAGACACACACAGACACACACACACACACACACACAGACACACACAGACACACACAGACACACACAACACACACAGACACACACAGACACACACACACACACACACACAGACACACACACACACACACACACACACACACACACACACACACACACACACCAGCACACACTTGCATACACACACACACACACACACACACACACACACACACACACACACACCAGCACACACTTGCATACACACACACACACACACACACACACACACACACCAGCACGTCGCAGTGTCAGGTCTTGGCATATGTGATATCGGTGTCCACGCCGAAGGAGATGTGATTTACCTGCAAGGAGCACTTGTCCTCAAAACCCTCTCACTTGAGCTTGGGCCCTAAACCCAAACCCTAACCCGGCACCTTGTGGGAGATGTTGAGGTTTTTGGTTTCCTGGCAAATTGGGCACTGGGAAGCTACGGTGTACTCTGAGCACTGCATCCTGAGAATGGCAGTCCTGGTATAGGGATCCGAAGAGGAAGGAGTGGCTGTAGGTAGAGAGGTGGAGGTTCCTGGCATGACAAGGCGAGGGCATGACTGCAGGTGGAGACCCTACACCCTAAACCCCAAAGCGTAAACCCTAAACCCCAAACCCTAAACTAAACCCTTGAATCACGGCGGGGCTGCCCGGGAACTTTGTTGACTTTGACGAAGCCTGTCACTCACCAGGGGGCATCCATCGGGTTTTGGGTTTCGGACTTCGAGGCAAAGGAGACGGACAAAGGCCCGCAACACCATCGCCGTGCAGTCCCTGCATGTTTCGTGCATGTTTCGACACCCCGATGCCTCGGATCCGGCAGCCCTCACCACTGTTAATGCTCTTTCGAAGAGCATCAACATCCTCTCAGATTGGGGTTACAGCTTCATGTGCACACACTCTCCATTCGAGTCGATAGACTTGACACTGACGGCACAAAGCATCAACCATCAGAAATCCTTCGAGCACGGGGACTGGATCTGACTGGCCTGGTTGCCGTAGCCTAGACTGTAGTGCCGCGAGAGTGTGGACGAAGCACCGAAGTGACTGGACCTGACACCGCGACGACTGGTCGACAATCTCATGCCGGACAAGCCCTCCTGGGAGGTCCAAGGGTAGTTCCAGGTAAGGTTACAAGTGGTAAGGTCGTAAGTATAGTTCCCCTACTTGCTACCCCACTTACAACTACCCATGAACCTCCAAGTAGACTAGTATGGCTTCGCCACAGGGAGCAGTGACTCATCGGCAGTAGACCCATGCGCGCCAGAGTAGTTAAGCTGAGGAGCTTAATCTCCTGCGTACCGATCAGATCGCCTTTGGATGTGAGGCGGTCCTGCCAAGGGGATAGGGAAGCGCAGCTACCAGTCAACTACAACTGAAAGTGTATGTAGATGCACATATATATATATATATACATATACATATATACTGGATGTACCTATATGGTAAGACTCCCCCTAGAACCAAAAACAATAACAACTAGAATAAGTACCGTTGCATGTATACTATTCGAGAATACCCTGTAATTTAGTGCTCAAGATTCCGAAACTTCTGAGAGAAAAAAAGGCCGAAAGCTTCAACAAATCCTAAAAAAAGCACACATTTCAAAACTTCCAAAAACTCCAAAAACGAAGGTCCTAATTCTAAACATTCTGAAAAGTTCAAAACAACAAAACTTCCAAAAACTAATAAAAACTCAGGAATCCCAAATCGGACGGGATCATGTCCCGATCCCATGGGGCCAAACTTGGTGTGGATGTTTTGGAATTTTGGGCCTTTTTGTTGCTTTGAAAACTGTTGGGATTTTGGGATTTCTTTGGTTTTTGAGAACTTTTGGAATTTTTGTATTGATTTAACTAAATTTGACTTTTGGAGTTTTTTGGGCTCCGGCCGTTGTGGAGTTTTCGGAGCCTCTGGAATGATGGACCTGATACATGGTCCTGCCCACTAAACTATGTACAACTAATATGTATATATGTATATAGAACTTTGAACGGGCCATGTGCCAGGTCCATGATTCCATAGATTCAAAGGATTGGACCGTGTCCCGGACCCATGGCATCGGGATGTGTCTGGAGATTTTGGGTTCTGGGCTTATCAAAACACCAGCTTACCAACAAGAACAAAAACAAAACATATGTACAGAAAAGACCTCTGTGATTTTCCCGGTGGAGATACATTGTGTGTGTGTGTGTTTTCAGCTGTACCAGTATTCATAAATACATATATATATATATAATGCGTGTGTGCATATACTCCAACATGCGCGTAGACTGTACAACTCTGTAGGTGCAGAGCTGCTCCTTGAACAGGTTGCCATGGGCGTCAACCTGAACGAATGCAGGGCGCCTTCAAGTGTGTTGGTGCGTCCTAAACTACCCTAAACTACCCTAAACTACCCTAAACTACCCTAGACTACCCTAAACTACCCCAAACCCTAAACCCTAAACTCTAAATCCTAAACCGCCCAGCAGTGGAAGCCTCATGGCTTCCCATCACGTCCTGCGCATCGAAGGAGAGCAGCCTCAGTCTGCGCATATTCTGAGCTGAGAGGCTTCACCCCTTTGCTGTTTAGGGTTTAGGGTTTAGGGTTTAGGGTTTAGGGTTTAGGGTTTAGGGTTTAGGGTTTAGGGTTTAGGGTTTAGGGTTTAGGGTTTCTTGGAGGTTCTTTGGTAGCTACAAGTGGGGTTATAAGTAGGGTAACTATATACTTATAACCTTATTTATAGGGTACTTAAAACCCTACGTAGAACTACCGTTGAACCTCCAAGTATCCTTCTAACATGATGGGACCCAGGCTCGCAGGGCATCGAGGACATGGTGATGTCCAAATTGATCTGCAGCTTCTCCTCACATGAGCCACGGCACCTACGCTACTGGCTGGTTTAGGGTTTAGGGTTTAGGGTTTAGGGTTTAGGGTTTAGGGTTTAGGGTTTAGGGTTTAGGGTTTAGGGTTTAGGGTTTAGGGTTTAGGGTTTAGGGTTTAGGGTTTAGGGTTTAGGGTTCAGGGTTCAGGGTTTTTAGGGTTTATAGGGACAGTCCTCCGTCTTGCTTTCTTCTATGACCATCTCACTTTCCCAGCGGCGCTGGACCAGCACCTCAATCGCACGGGGCCAAGACAGCTTGCCAGTCACGATAAGCACCCCAGATGCATCGCCGAATCGCCCCTTCTACAGTAGGCTATACACCGCCGTGCTGTGCTTTCTCTGGCCTCCCTGAAGACTGGTTTAGGGTTTAGGGTTTAGGGTTTAGGGTTCCAGGGCACCGGGAGGTCCTGCATGTGTCACGTGGAGAAACCCTGTGGCTTGCTGCAGTCACTAAGTGAAGGAGGCCTCCCGAAAGCTTCCAGGAAGTAACGGTTTTGCTGCCACAAGGGAGCTTGATAACTAAATGGGCGCACCCTTTTTGGCGTTCCGATCTTGAGGATTATAGTACCCGTACTTTGGGAAATACCCGAATGCCACTCAAGACTGCGAGCTGTGAGCTGCACCCGCAGTGATGGCAACGGTGTTTTTTTTTTCATTTCTGCGTGTTGTTCTTGTTTCTTTTTCTTTTTATTTTTTTTTTTTTGGGGGGGGGGGGGGGATTAGGGCTTAAAGTTTTAGACTTTAGCCTATGGAACCGGCTCCTTGAAGGGACTATGTGAGGCATCTACTGCCTGCGCTCAAACCCAAAACAGACGCATCGGAAGAGCCCTGCAGCCCTACACCGTAAACCTTACCTGAGCCTCCGGGGTGCAGGGTGCCCGAGGGGGGAGAACAGATCAAACGAAAGAGGCGGAATGTGAGAAACAAGCCTCCTGAGAGCAGGGAGATCCCTAAACCCTAAACCCTAAACCCTAAACCCTGATACCGTAGTCCCCTCCTGGGCCTTTCTGAGCGCCCCATGGCCTCCCTTGCTCAGAATGAGGTGCTGTCCATCCTGGTCCCCTGCAGTCTCCTGTGCTTCCCTCTGCTCGATGCTTCCCCGCCCTGCTGCTGCATTGATCTCTTACTTGGAGGATCATCTGGGCAGTTATAAGTGGGGTTAGAAGTAGGGGCACTATACCTAGAACCCTACTTGGGGTACTTATAACCCTACTTATAACTACCCACAAAAACCTTCAAGCATGAGATTGGAGAGGAAAGGCAAATCACACCTTCGGGGTTTAGGGTTTAGGGTTTAGGGTTTAGGGTTTAGGGTTTAGGGTTTAGGGTTTAGGGTTTAGGGTTTAGGGTTTAGGGTTTAGGGTTCCCGCGCCGGGAGGTGCCATGGCATGTGGCCATAAACTCTGGGTCAGCGGCCATAAACTCTGCGAAGAAGAGGTAAAGTGCCACGAGGACCTGGCTCAACCACAGCGGCACAGCTCTTTGGACCAGATTCTTGTATCCCAAGGTAGAAATACGCCCTCAACCGCTGCACTGACGACTTTCTAAGACTCCGGGCAGTGAAGATGGACACTAAGGCGCCACTCAGTGTTGGCTCTCGCGTGGGACCTGGTCGGAGCATTGACTCCGTGCCTTGAACAGTCTTTCTAGCCCTCGCTCTCGCTCGCTCGCTCTCTCTCTCTCTTCTTCTTCTTCTTCTTCTTCTTCTTCTTCTTCTTCTTCTTCTTCTTCTTCTTCTTCTTCTTCTTCTTCTTCTTCTTCTTCTTCTTCTTCTTCTTCTTCTTCTTCTTCTTCTTCTCTTCTTCTTCTTCTTCTTCTTCTTCTTCTTCTTCTTCTTCTTCTTCTTCTTCTTCTTCTTCTTCTTCTTCTTCTTCTTCTTCTTCTTCTTCTTCTTCTTCTTCTTCTTCTTCTTCTTCTACGGGGCATGAGGAAGGGTTCCCCCCTCCCTCTCTCTCGCTGTCTCTATCACACAGTTTAGGGTTTAGGGTCTCCGTCCCTCTTGCTTGCTTGCTTGCAGCGCACATGATCCCCCCGAAGGGAGACCGCCCCAAGGGGCATGCGTTACCGAGTCCGACTGTGTGTGAAAACATGAGCGGTGGGAGTGTTGAAAGAACAAGACGGACAAGACGGTTATACCATCATACCATCTTAGCACCCACTCTGCTCAATCGAAGTGCCGGGGAAAAACCGCGCATCTCTGAGTGCCACTTTTGGGGAAAACCCAGGTCTACCGAGTTGTGTGTGTTGTGTGAAACCGCCCTGAATTGGACCCCTGGCACTGTCCGGTAAGGAGAGTCCCCACTACAGGTTGGCAGTGAGGGGAGATGTGTGTGCTTCTGTTCGATTAGAATATTGGTCCTGCATTTCGCATGGACGAAGGTGTGAGCTGAAAAAGAGGCGTCTATCAAGCCCCTTCCCCCCAACAACCGAGCATCCACCCAAATCCACGAACCACACTCAGGGCCCCACTCTCTCTCACTCTTTCTTTCTGTCTTTCTGTCTTTCTTTCTTTAGTTCTTTCTTTTTTGCCTTTACTTTCCTTTTTTCTTTTCTTTATTCTTCCTGGGGCTAGGAGGCGAACCCGCGGGCGTCCTCGCCCACCCCCATTACGTGGCCGTAGCGGTGGATCGTGTGTTTGCCCCCACTACTACCCCCTTTTCCCCCCTATACCCCGATCTAGCCAAAACCTCTCTCACACATATACATGTCTATATATATATATACATATATATATATATATATTTATATATTTATAAATTTATATATTTATATATTTATATATTTATATATTTATATATTTATATTTCTTGTAACTATCACGCCCGGGGATGTGGCCCTTCTTGTTCAAGCAGTGTTAACCCCCCGCTAAACGCCGTTGGACCATGAGCTCGTCGAAGGGCGACCAACCAAACGCTGCCCGCAGCAGGGAGGCATGTGGGCCAAAAAACCAGTTGCAGGTTCATTGGGTAGCAAAAAGTGGGGTTCTAAGTAGGGTAGCTATACTGACAACCTTACTTAGTGTACTTATAACCCTACTTTTAACTACCCTTGAACATCCAAGTACATTAGACATGCCGTTCTGCCTAAGAACGCAGAACGCCGTTCCCCAAAAGCCTACCACAACGCCATGGAAACCACGCGCCCGGCTCGCCCTCCCCAACGTTAACGCTCGCTTCAGAGGTTTACGGGCATCTTACTTTCATGCTTATGCCCCCAGCCCTTGTCCGTGGACGGCCGTAGCCAAAGATAAACGGCGCTGCCTGGAACAAACTGAAATTTTGTCGCTGCAGGACGATACCTGTCCACCCGAACGCCTTCTCCCAATTGAGTGTATTTTGATTGTGCTTTTGTGATTCATAACTAGTATATGCGCCATCCACATAGTCGCGTGCTGATTGGTCAAGCGCCTTCCTGTAGAGGTCGAGCCGTGAGAGTGCCTTCATCGCACCTAGCACAGAGCTGTTCGAGAACACTAAGCCATACTACGCCACTTCGCTTCAGACCCTCAGAACTTGGACTCCCAACCTACCAGAGCCCACAAAAACCTACAACCCTAAACCCTCAACCCTAAACCCTCTGGGACTTCCAGAATCCTATCCAACTCCAGAGCCAGGTCTCTCGTGCCTTACGAGTGACGTCAGCAGGGCTGCATCAGCCGCATTGCTGGCACTGAGTTGTCGATGCTGTCTTGGTGGCTTAGGTGCTTTGAAGTGGGTTGGTGTCGCGTACGGGTAGTTGTGTCAGCGATGCCCGGCAAGGGCGCGGTATTTGTGTCAGTGATATTCAGACCCTAAACCCTGAACCCTAAATCTCTCAGGGCCTCGTTGTTTAGATTTTGCACTCATGCCGGGTGGTAGCAGCAGCTGGCTGCGTGTCATCCTAAGCCTTTGAGCTGCATTCTACATTTTCTTAACACATGCTATTTCATGTTATCCTTCTTTGAATATGTCCCAATGTCTGTGGTCGAGGTTTAGGCCTTTCCAGACTCTTCATGTCGAGGCTACTCGTGACTTGAGCGAGACAATACAAAGCACATCAAAGCCTGCTACGAGCTGCATATTCTGTATATGATATATATATATATGTATGTATTACATTGTATGTCCTGTATATTACATACATGCATATATGAATTATATATATATATATGAATATAATACGATACCATATCCTACTCTTTGATGGTATGCGCCCCACACATGTATATCGTCCGTAGCCTTAGCTTCCAAGCCACGAGCAGGCGCACCACGCCTCCGAGCAAAGAGCCTCGATGGTCTCAGCATCCATTCCTTCGCCTTGGTCCTTGAGGGTTTAGGGGTTAGGGCTTTGGGGTTTAGGGCTTTGGGCCTTAGGGTTCAGGGTTTGGGGTTTAAGGTTTAGGGTTTCGGGCTTAGGGCTTTAGGGTTTCAGGGTTCAAGGTTTAGGGTTTAGGCCCTTCGGGTTTAGGAAAACAAACAAACAAACAAACAAACAGAACACAGACCTGTAGAAATCTGAAGAATCACACGGCCGCAATTACAGCAGCCCATTGCCATGCAAATCTTCTGAGGTGTCGTACAGCAGACACCGTGGCTCCTCCAGCTGGCACGCGATCGTCGCCGCAGTCTTCCGCTGGCAGATGCGCATCAGCCATACCTCGCAACGATTCGCCCGAGGGCCCAGGATCTGCACAAAGCCCCTTCCATGTCCAGTGCCCCACACCCCCACCCCAGAAAGCACCAGGCTCCAAAACATCCCAAGCCCTACTTGGAGGTTCATGGGTAGTTATGAGCAGGGCTACAAGTGCCTTGCGTAAGGTTACAAGTAGAACTACCCTACTTATAACCCCACTTCTATCTACTCATGAACCTCCAAGCACTACCCGGTACCGATCCCAAGCTTTGACCCCGACACCGCACCCTGCGGCCTCAGCACCCCCCTGGAGCAGGGCAAAAACGAGGTGGTCACTTCTCAAAGTGATGGTCCCTTATTTGGGGGTTTACGGAAAATAGGGGGACCCCTAAAATGAACCCCCTAATAGTAGGAGTCTCTTATAATAAGGACCCCAAGAACGTACCTTAAGTTTGGAGACCACCCATTTTAAAGCGGCCCCTAAGTCTGAGCACGCCCATCAGAGAACTTACCAAATAGCTTGTAATCAACTCCCCCATACACCTCTTGCCTCTTTCTTCAGGGAGAGCTGCCGATCGCCATTGTCCTGTGCAAAGCACACACTCTGCTCTGAGCAGCAATGCCCACGATGGCTCACTTCTTCCTTCCCACTCCCTGTCTCTGCTTGACTTCCTAGAACATCCTTTTTAGGAGTTTGGGACGGGTCTAGGCCTCCCACTCCACACCTCTTTTGGGCTTCAGAAATTCTACAGAATCCCACTTTGGGGGTCCTCGCTCCTCTGAAGCTACCGTGAAACACAACCCCTTGAACCCTGGTCGCGTTGAACAACCATGAACACTCCCGAGATCCAGCTTCAACAGTTGAGGTGGCCAGGGTGGCCTGGTTTCGCCCGGAGCCGTTTACCACGACCTGGGGGGGGGGGGGCGCGAAAGTATCAAGGCTCGCGGTGGTGCCGAGTTTTAGAGTTCAACACACGGCAAGGCCATGGCGACGCACGGTAGACACACTGCTTCTGCAACGACTGCTCCGAGGTTGACACCCAATCACATCCGTCAATCGCCAAAGGATCCATATGGGGCTTGCCTGGCTTTTCAACGTTGCTTCAAACATTGGCACATCGGGCAGACTCTGCTGGTCCAGCGCTGGCGGCACCTTACATCTCCACTGCTGTTTAGCTCAGGGCATGATGTCACATGCAGGTATTTGGAGGCATGTTCCAGCCTCATAAGTAGTCATAAGTCTCAAGCAACTGAAACAAACAAAATTGAATTGCACAGCGGTTGTCGGCAACCTGCTGTCGAAGGTCCAAAGTGAGACATGGCAGCGGCCCTGTACAGTCCACGCGATCGCCTCAAAGCAAGTAAGCAGTGTTCATGCATGGTGACTTCACTACGTTCTTCCTGGCTGTGGCCCGGTTCTGTGCTTTGCCGGCGTCATGGGGCCTCACTCGGCCTGATCAAATTCGATACATATCTGGGACCTATATGCAATATGTGCCCCAGATGGGATCTCCAAGCTGTACAAGGTGGGATCTCAACACTCAAAACTCACGGCCAGACACGCACCCCAGAGCTAACGCTGCGGCGCATCCGTCTCTCGACCCTACAACTTTGCGTATCCGTGCTCAGCAGTGCGCTGCCTCTTCAGACTGCTGGCCACATCGAAGTCCCAATCACCTCGCCCTCCAATGGTCTTCCAGTCGATGGTGACCGAACTGCCACCGGGCAGCTTATCTTCGAGGATCAGAGTGCTGAGGCGCGAGACCAGATGTCGCTCCATGTAGCGCTTCAGTGGCCGAGCCCCCATTTCTGGGTCGTGGGCAGCCGTCAGTACGTGGTCCACAGCTGCGTCGGTGATGTGCATGGTCACCTCGAGCTCGTCCAACCTGTGAACGACATCCGCAAGCTGCAGCCGCACGACCTGGCGGAGAACGTCACCAGACAGTGGGCTGAAGACAACGACGTCGTCCAGGCGATTCAGCAACTCTGGCCTCAGCGACCGTCGGATCGTCTGCAGCACCATGGAGCGCGCCTTCTCCAGCCCAAGCCCATGCCGAGCCTCTGCCATGAGATGTTCTGAGCCGAGGTTGCTGGTCATGATCACCACACAGTTTGTGCAGTCCACCGTCCTGAGGGCAAGCAGAGCCTAAATCTGCCTAGCTGCACACCTAGCCTAACAACATCTAGCAACCATCGGCAGCTAACATCGCTGCATATCGTTGCGGCGTGCGATGCTCAATGACTCAAAGACAGCTTTTCTGGGACTAAGGCTAAGCCGGCCAAGCCCTTCGTCTTCTCACGGTCCTGCCGTGGCTGTCGGTGATGCGGCCGTCGTCGAGGAGCTGCAGCAGCACATTGAGAACTTGCGGGTGCGCCTTCTCCATCTCGTCGAAGAGGACCACACTGTAGGGATGACGACGCAGAGCCTCCGTTAGCTGGCCACCAGCCTCGTGTCCCACATAGCCCGGGGGCGCACCGATAAGCCTTGAGACGGCATGCTGCTCCATGTACTCGGACATGTCAAACCTGATCATCCGCGCTTCGCTGTCGAAGAGGTTTGCGGCCAGCGCCTTTGCCAGCTCGGTCTTTCCGACCCCTGTGGGCCCAGCGAAGAGGAAGGAGCCCGTGGGCTGGTTCCGCCGCGCGAGGCCGGCGGCGCTGCGCAGCACGGCGCGCGCCACAGCAGCGGCCGCCTCCTCCTGTCCGATGACGCGCTGGTTCAACTCCGCCTCCAGATTCAAGAGCTTGGCCTTCTCCCCCTGCGAGAGCTTGGACACCGGAATGCCAGTCCAGCGGGAGACCACCTCGGCGATGTGGGCAGGGGTCACGGTCTCGACAAGAAGCGGGCTCTCAGAGTCGTCTTCCTGCTCCTTCTTCTTGGCCTCCAGGTCGCGGATGCGTTGCTGCACCCCCGGGATGGCGTCGTAGCGAAGATCCGCGGCAGCGTCGACATCGTGGCGCGCCTCCATGACCTCGAGCTTCCTCTTCAGGTCCTGCAGCTTCTGCTTGGCCTTGCGCAAGTCGTCAATGAGCTCTCGCTCCTGCTGGTAACGGGCTCGCAGTGGTGCAAGTTGCTCGGAGACGGCTGAGAGCTCCTTCTGGGCCTCTGCAAGCCGCGTCTTGGAGCCGTGGTCCTTCTCCTTGCTGAGCGCTTTCACCTCCACTTCCAGGTACTGCCGCCGGCGCTCCAGGCTGTCGATGGCCTCTGGTTGAGAGCTCAGCTGCACACGGATCTTGGAGCAAGCTTCATCCAGAAGATCCACGGCCTTGTCGGGGAGAAATCGGGAAGTGATATACCGGCTGGACAGTGTCGCCGCGGCAACGAGCGAAGCATCCTGGATGCTCACACCGTGGTGGGCTGCATACCGATCCTTCAAGCCACGCAGGATGGTGATGGCGGTCTGCACGGAAGGCTCTTCCACGTGGACCTGCTGGAAACGTCTCTCCAGGGCAGCATCCTTTTCGATGTACCGCCGGTACTCGTCCATCGTCGTGGCCCCGATGCAGCGGAGCTCTCCGCGCGCCAACATGGGCTTGAGGAGGTTTGCCGCGTCCATGGCTCCATCCGTTTTTCCCGCGCCTATCAAGAGGTGCGCCTCGTCGATGAAGAGGACAACTCTTCCCTCGGCATCCTTGACTTCTTGGAGCACTGCTTTCAGCCTCTCCTCGAACTCGCCGCGGTACTTGGCCCCGCTAATCAGGGCTCCGACGTCGAGGGCGACGATGCGGCAGCCCTGCAGCGCTTCGGGGACGTCCCCGACCACGACACGCTGCGCCAGGCCCTCGGCAATGGCAGTCTTCCCAACGCCTGGATCTCCAACCAGGATAGGGTTGTTCTTGGTGCGCCGAGCCAAGACCTGCACGACGCGCCGGATCTCATCATCGCGCCCGATGACGGGGTCGAGCTTGCCGTTCTCCGCATCGGCCACGAGGTCCCTGCCGTATTTGGACAGGGCCTCGAAGTTCTCGTCGCCGGTCTGGCTGTCCACTTTCCGTGATCCTCGGACTTCCTGGATGGACTTCTCCACAGCCGAAATGCTGTAGCCCGCTGAAGACACGACCTCTCTCAGCGACTTCTGCTTCAGCAGTGCTAGGAAAAGGTCGGGCAGGCTGAGGTAGCTGTCGCCGCTGGCAGCCCTCAGCCTCTCTGCCTGTGCAAGGGTACCGCGCATGGCGTTGTTCGGGGCAATGTCCTCTGGCGCCGGGCTCTGGGAGCTGAAGCTGCTCAAAAGTCGGTCACAGCCTTTGGCCACCTCCTGGCTGTCGCCATTCAGCCGCGAGAGCACTTGCGCCGGCAGGGTGCTCCTCTCCTTGACAAGGACAGCAAAGACGTGCGCCGGGTCCAGCTGGAGATGGCCCCTGTCCCGGGCCAGGCGCACGGCATCCTTGATCGCCTTCCCGGCCATTTCCGTGAAATCGGCCCCTGCGGACATCTTCAAGGGCTGCCGAATTGATGGCAAGAGAGCCGTATGCCAAAATCGAGAAAAGAAATCTGAGCCAAGATTCTTCGCAGCTTGCAGTTCCTGTCTCAGCTGTCTCGGCTTAGGAAGCTTTCAGAAAGTAAAAGACTCCCCTTGCGATGGTATTGATGTGCGTGCCTTTCGGCGACCGGTATTTGGCAGTCTTCATCGAAGCTGCCGAGAAGCCTGACAACAGATTAGAACGGGCACCCTAAAACCCTAAACCCTATAAACCCTAAACCCTAGACCCTAGACTGTCTATGCATGTCGGGGATAGCAAGGAGTTGGAAGCCCCGGCCAGAGCCCGGCTGATGCGTACTGAGGCCCGGCAAGTGCAGCATATCTGTTGCAGGGTGCCTTGTCACTTCACGGGTTCTGCAAAGGCTCAGGATGCGGAAGTCAGAAGCTGACTAATTCACATTACCTTGGAAACCACCGGAATCCATGACGATATGACTCGATCAGGACTAGTTCTCTGCCTAGACTTACTCATGCCTGCCTCATGCTGCGAGTAATGAGTAAGACATTGCACAACGCATCTTCGGCCGCAAAGCAGGCTCTCAACTGTCAATAGCTGCGGGCATAGGCAGTGCTTGAACTTCAGAAAGCTGGTGTTAAGTCTCCTACACCTAGGAGTACACGGAGGCGGCATCAGACGACATGCAAACGCATAAGGGCTTCTAGGGCTTCTCGTCCACTCTGAAGGGCAAACATGGGTTCTTCACCTCTCATTTGGGGGTTTACGATCTTCGGGATACCTTATTGGGGTCCTTGTTCGCCTCGGCTTCCTGCCGAGAAGCAGGGACTTTTTGCGCACCCGAGACCCCTTCCTGGGATCCCCCGCCCTGGGACCCCCCCCCTGGGACCCCCCCCCTGGGACCTGCCTGGGACCCTCCCTCCCCACCAAAACCCTATCCCCGCTTCCTGAGACCCTGCCCAGAAACCCTCTTTCCTCCTTTCCTGCCCGTGGGCCGGCCCGGCTGTCGAGGCGGCGCGCGCAAGCGTTTACAATTATGAGCGGATCCTACTACTTGGGGGTCTATATTAAGGGTCCCTTATTTTCGTAAACACCCTAAACCCTAAACCCTAAACCCTAAACCCTGAACCCCAAACCCTAAACCCTTAAAAGCCCTAAAAGTCCCCTATTTTCGTAAGCTCTCGCCTATCTCTCTGAAATCAACTCCCCGAAGCGTCGGGGAGCTCCGGCAGGCGCTTTTGGCTGGATCCGCGGAGCCATTCTTACCACATCTCACACACGGTTTAGGGTTTAGGGTTTAGGGTTTACGGTTTACGGTTTAGGAATAGTCGTACTTGGAGGTTCATGGGTGGTCAAAGGTAGGGTAATAAGAGCCCTAAGCAAGGTTACAAGTAGAGTTCTTTTTTACCCTTCTCAGAACCCTACTTGCATCTACCCATAAACCTCCAAGTATTGTTCCTACCCTAGGAAGCCTGAAGTATCCTGCTCCGCGACCCAGCGTGCCACCGAATTTGCCAACGGGCTCAGGCTGCAACCTCAGCTGTTCTTAGGGTTTAGGGTTTAGGGTTTAAGGTTTAGGGTTTAGGGTTTAGGGTTTAGGGCTAGGGTTTCGGGTAGCCCCGTAGATACCCCTGATGTACCCTTTTCAAATTAAGAGCACAGACATCAGAACCCTCTAAGGGACCATATTCAGGGCCCATGTGACTAGCCTTAGAGCTGCAACAACTGCCCCCTCTTCCTAGGCCCTAACCCTAAACCCTTAACCCTTAACCCTTAACCCTAAACCCTAAACCCTAAACCCTTGCTGCTGGGAGGGCAGAGTTGCAGAGACATGCAGAGACCCCGATGTTCCGGCCACAGCTGCGGGGAGGGGATGCGAGCATCATGGTGCTTCTTCTTTAGGGTTTAGGGTTTAGGGTTTAGGGTTTAGGGTTTAGGGTTTAGGGTTTAGGGTTTAGGGTTTAGGGTTTAGGGTTTAGGGTTTAGGGTTTAGGGTTTTGCAGTATAGTTTACTAGGATGGCCCGTAAGGCAAGCCCCTCTCCACTCAAACTGCCAGGATGTAGTGTACGGGAGCTGCGGTCCCAAATCCGCAGGGGAGCATGCAATGGACACACGGCAGTTAATCCTTGGGGCGAGGGTTGGCTGAGCGCACGGGCTCAGCCTGGACCGTCCAGATGCAAGTACGCAGTCACACAGACGGGAACTCCCGTGCACCGGCCACTGTCAAGCGAAGCATTATGCGCACTTTGCGACTGTTCTTCTTGCAAGGCTGGGCTTGGTACAGGGGACATTTGCTCAGCACGGCTGATCGACTGACTGCTTTCTTTTCTGCACAGGACATTGCACACGTTCGTCACCAGATTAATGCTCGACGGCATTGGTGGTTTGAAAGGGATTCACATTTCCACTTGCGCCGTCAAGACGGGGCAGTTCATCTGGACAGACCCACGAGAACACAGACTGTTTCAGCGCCTCGTCGCTCTTCAGACGTGCCCTTGCTCAAACTTCTGACTTTCAACTGCCAATCGCTGGGGAAGGGCAGTTCTCGGCTTCAGGAGTTGGCCACGGATATGGATGCGGTTAGTGTGTCGGTTGCAGCTCTGCAGGGCACCCGGTGGAAGTCTGACGATCCTCGAGGTGAATGGACAGTTCATGGGATCTCGGGCCAGCCGCTTTTTCGCTGTTTCTCTTGGGGACGGCCTGCGAGCAACAACATGCTTGGTGTTCAGCTTCTCATCAGTCATACACTGTACTCGCGTGCTGTTGTCCACACACGCTTTGATCCACCACATGGGCTGAAAGGTCGGCTTGGAGGCATCCGACTTGTTAGCCGGACCCCGGGTCAGGAGCTTGACGATCTTTTCATAACGGCCTATGGCCCGCAAGAAGCTGCCCCCGACGCTGATCGGCAGACTTTTTTCCAAGCGGTTCTTGAAATCACACATGCTGTTCCTCGCCGGACACGTGTGTGGCTTCTGGGCGACTTCAATGGGCACGTTGGCACTGACACGCGAAGCCCGGCTGTGGGCAGGTTTGGCGAGCAGGTCACCAACAACAACGGCTTCTCGTTAGTCCATGCCTGTGAATCCGCTGGCCTTCTGCTCTCCAACACTGTGACTGGTTGGGCGCCAACCTCGTGGACGCCGGATGGACGGCATGCGCACTGCATTGACTTCATCGCCATCCCGCAGGCGTACAAGACACGCATTCGGCAGTGCCGTGTGAATCAAGTGCTTGGCAGGCGCTGGCAGCTGTCGCTTGTGCGCGATCACTGGCCAGTTGAAGCCACCGTGCAACTTCTGAGACCTTGGCAGCTTCACAGCTCCAGTCACCAGCCGCGAACTCGCTGGAACCAGCACGCGCTACAGGTTGCCTTGGACGACCCTGAGGTTGCGAATAATTTCTTGCATGATGCTCAGGCTGCCTGGGGGCCCATTGCTGCTCAGCACACTGATTTCAGCACCCCTAGCGGAGTTGAAGCGTACTGGCAGAGTGTCACGGCGGTCATTCACAAGGTTGCTGTGCAGCATTTTGCTATGCGGCCTGTGCAGCGCTCGTCCAAGATACTGCCTGCCACGTTTGACCTCCTACAGCAAAGACGCGCAGCCCAGGACACCCTCCTTCAGCACATGCATGGGTGGATCAATGTGCGTCGCCGAGATGTTCTACGTTGGTTCTTCGCTGCCATTCGGTTTTTTGCCAGTCACTCGCGTTGTGACAGGGCCTGCAAGGCTGCAGTGAAGCACGACAACAAGCAGTGGGAGTCTCGTCTCGAGGCGAGATTGCAACAGGCCATAGACTTTCATGACACTCGGGAGGCATGGGCCACAAGCCGTCAGCTCGCCGGTCACGGTCGCAGCAGGATCATTGACCGCGCTGTGCCAGCTGCGAAATTGATTACCGAACAGCAGTGGGAGAAGCACATGAAAGACATTTGGGGCGCGACGCGGCACAATGGCGCTGTTGTCCAGACAGCTGCAGACACCTCTGCTCAGCTTCAGGTGCCCCTACTGCGTGGTGAGCTGGGCCGACAACAGCTGCTGACAGCTGCTCGGGCGCAACCTCGGTGCCGTGCCACGCCTGAAGGCTCATTGCCTGCAGAGCTTTGGTGCCTGATCATGCAGACAGGACAAGTCGCTGCAGAACAGCCCACCTGGACTGCGACAGAAGCCGTCAGGTTCTTTGAAGCGGCGCAAACTCTCGGCTACAATCCTCAAGCTTGGTGCGATGGTTTTGGGTGCGCCATCCCCAAAAAAGGCGGCAGCCCTGGCCCCGGCGGCCAGCGCATCATCAATTTGCTGGATCCTGGTGGTAAGATGTTCTACAAGGCTCTCTGGAATGCCACCCCAGACCACCCTGCTGCACATCAGTATGGGTATGCCGCTGGTCGCTCTCGACGAGATGCCATCTTGCATGTTGAGGCCTGGCTTGATCGTCTTCGCTTCAACAAACTGCACACGGCTGCCATCTTGTTTGACCTCACGAAGGCTTTTGACACCCTGAACCTGCCCAGCATTGAGCAAGCTGTGCTTGACACGCGCCTTCAGCCTGCAGCTGAACAACTCTTGCTTGACTTACACCGCAGGCTGCGAATACGGCTGCCGCTGCAACGTGGGGGTCTCTTGCAGGTCAAGTTGCAGTCTGGCGTGCTTCAAGGAGGGGGCACCGGGCCACGCATTTTCCGCATTGCATACGATTCTTGTGTCCTTGAGTGGGAACAGGCCCTCACTGCTGACGAGAGCGAGTTCCTGGTTGACTATGCGGGCCAGCAGCTTTTTCTGGGCATCGCAGCTTATGCTGATGATCTCATCCGCATTGTACCTGGGCGCGACCTCCACAAGCTTGCCACCACTGCGCAACAGAACCTGGCCTCGCTTGAGGGCGTCCTGCGGCCTCGGAATCTCCAGCTGAACGAGAGAAAGGGCGAAACACTTTTGTCCTTCAGTGGCAAGGGCGCTTATAAGGCAGCGCGCGATGCTCATGCTGGGCACTGGCCCTGCTACCCGCCCAAGCTTGTGGTGAAGTACCTTGGCGCGCAGCTCCATGCGACTGGTTCCCTCAGCGCCGAAATACGCAAGCGTGCGGCGTCTGCAAAAGCTGGTTTTGCCCGATTTGCCCGTTTCTTTAAGCGCAGTCAAGTGCCTCTGCCTCGGAAGGTTCTTGTCTTCAAGGCTGTGGTGAATGAGGCTCTGCTTTCAGCGCTGGAAGTGCGCCCGCTCAGCAGTGTTGATGAGCAGGCGCTTGAGAGAGCTCGCGGGCTGCTTCTTCGAAGACGTTTTGGGCGACAGGGCTACGGTGCAGTCGCTGGTGACCCTCAACACCGCTCCGTCACCCTTGAAAGCTTGCGCCGTCGAGCTAACTTGGCCACCGTTGCTTCAGAACTACGTGTTCGCAGACTCTTGTGGTTGCGCAAAGCTCTCCTGCGCGAGCAAGAAGGACAAACCCGCCTTGAGCTGGCTGCCCTTTTCGGCGTGAGCAACAAGCTCCACGACACACTCACACCTGGCACAGGTGCCCCTTCGCAACATGCTCCTCGTTTCCTGCATCTGCTGTTCCGTGATCTGCAGTCAGTACTTGTTGGTTTTTCTGGTTTTTCCGGTAACTGGCAAACTAGTTTTCTGCAAGTCTCAGCTGATGCCTTGCGTCGACTCCGCACAGTATGCTCCCCCCAAGCTGCCAGCGCTGCTGCTGATGTGGCCGTGCTGCAAGCCGATGCCAACGCTTCTGGAGACGATGAGCCTGCTGCAGTGCCTGCGGTTGCTGCGCCGCCAGTTCCTGTGCCTGCAGACGCTGCAGCACCAGTTCCGGTTTTCAGCTGCGCGCTTGTCAACAATCATGGACATGCTGGTGCTCTTGCCGGCCAACGGATCGCAGCCCAGGCTCGAGCTCCAGCGCAGCGCCCCCCTGCTGCGCCGGCTGTCAACCAGCGCTCCATTGCTGAGTTCTTCGCGCGCCATGCCGAGCATGGACTTCCTGCAGCTGCCAGCGGTGACGAGCCCATCAACACGGCCTCCCAAGCGCACACGTTCGGACGGGCCGCGGGCAGCAGGTCTGAATCCTCTCGAGCAGCAAGTGAAGGAACTCAGCTTGAAGCTGGACAAGGTGTGTCAACTCGTTGTCAGCCACGACCACAGCATTCGGGAGATGGAGGCTTGGAGCACCCGCACCTGGATTTTCGAGCAGGAGAGCGAGCTCGCCACTTTGCTCATGAGCCACATGAACCAGTGGAAGCAGCATCTTCCTCCACAAGGCCAGCCACATCCGCAAGGCCCTGCCCGTCTCACAGTCGGCGCGGGTCTGGCCAAGTGGTTGTTGGAGGATCCGGATCGTCGTCAAGCCATGCCCAAGTTCACAGCCATGCACGACGCCATGACTGGTCTCACTGACATGCACAATAGCATTCAGCTTGCATATGTCAAGGTGATCAAGGATGGCAGAACACTCCTCAAGCTGCGCCCGCAGCAATCCGCCAGCGATGAGTGGGCAGAGGCTTTCGCCTGGATGCAGCAATCTTTGGTCTCGCTCAAGGCGGAATCCAAAGACGCGGCGCCGCCTGGCCCAATTGTTCGCAGCTTGACGCGCCGTGACAAGCCTGCTGAAACCGCAGCATGACTGAACACTGTGCCGATGTTCCCGTGCATTTTGGCATCTGCAGAAGCAGTGCCCATGTAAGGGACTCTCCCCTTAGGGCCAATCCCCCTTCCAAACTTAGGGGTCGCAGGATTGGCAATTTTGCTTGATGCTTGATTCCCGTGATTGAGTTCGCGCCAGCCCAGCTGACGTGCGCAGTCTCTGACTGTGGTGTACACTGCAGCGATGTTCCCCTCTTGTCCTACGACTGACGATCGGACCTCGCTAAGTGGATGCAATGCAATGCAAAAAATGGCCCGTAAGGCCCTCTAAAGAATACTCCTACTATACTTGATCCTCCTAAACCCCATAAGGCAAATATGAAACTTCCCCAGGGTCTACCTAGTACACATAAAGTCTAAAGTGGCTCTCTGCCAGGTTCGCCGGACAGCGGTCAACGCTGGCTACACCAAATAAACCACACAGGCCGTGTCATGAAATGAATGGCTGGCACCATTGCAGCCCGGTCGCGACATGCATGACGGTGCTGATGCCGCCTTCAGGTCAAACAGAAGCTGCAAAGATGCAATCTCGTAAGGCGCGTCCTCTAAGTCCGGCAGCCCAGACACTTTGTCCGGCCCGTCCCGGCCCGTCCCGCCTTCTTCGGCGGGCTTGTACACCTTGCTTGCATGATGGAGGAGCAGATGAGGAGCCATGCCATGATGCGATCCAATCCCGAGCAAAGATCCCTACAGCGGGTGTGCGGGCCTTTCCACGCCTCTCTACTTGAACCGGGTAGTTATATGTAGGGTTATAAGTAGGGTAACTATACTTATAACCTTACTTAGGGTACTTACAACCCCATTTATAACTACCCATGAACCTCCAGGTAGTAGTCCTCGGCTTGCGCAACGCGCATTTGCGAATTGAGGTTGAACGAGGTGTCGTGACATTGTGGTCACGACTGCTCCCCGAACCCGGAATTCTTCCGATCAGCCTGCTTACGAGACTTGTGATTGCTGTCCCCAAAACACCCTAAACCCTAAACCCTAAACCCTCAACCCTAAACCCTCAACCCTAAACCCATGTCCCCGAATGCGCGGTACTCCTGCAAAAAGCTGGCCTTCCGCACGGTCCAGGTAAACTGACGGTGGGCTTTGTGCTGCGCCTGTACAATGAAAACAATGAAATCCACTAGTAAAGTTAGGGTGGTACGAGTACGCAAAGATCCCAATACCCTTAAATAAGGAATATACCTTGAATCATGTAGGGGTTCTTAATATGATTTATGGTACATTCCTTATTTAAGGGGTATTGGGCTCTCTGGGAACAAGGTTTAATGCAAGTTTAGGAAGGTTTGGGTTTGAAGGCCTTTGGGCACAGCAGCCAAGTGCCGACATGGACATGAAGCAAACAAGATACCTTGTTAGTGGCGCGCATCGCGACTGATTGCTCAAGCAATGTGGTTTAGGGTTTAGGGTTTAGGGTTTAGGGTTTAGGGTTTAGGGTTTAGGGTTTTAGGGTTTAGGGTTTAGGGTTTAGGGTTTAGGGTTTCGGGTTTAGGGTTTAGGGTTTAGGGTTTGTTTAGGGTTCCAGGAAACGTCTGGGGTCCACCTTCTCGATGGCTTCCATGGCAATGGTGGCCGTCGTGGCCCCTTGAAACTCAAGCTTGACCTTCGATGCGATGTTTGGTCTTACATATCTGGAAGTGGCAAGAAACCCTAAACCCTAAACCCTAAACCCTCTAAACCTTCAACCCACAAAAGCCTAAAACCTATAATAGCCTGAACCCCATAAAGCCTAAGCCTGCAGACCCTAAAACCTAGCCTATAAACCCTAAAACCTGTGAAACCCAAACCCTTCAAACCCTAGAAACTGAGCTCGGAGCTGTTCGCTTCAAATTGTTGCCCGCGACGTCCACAAACTTGCTCATAATCTCAGTCGGACACTCGTCCCTTCCCGAGGCAAGTTGCGGGTTTTGGGCTTCTGGGTCTTGTTACCTGGGGTGCCCCAAGATGCTCCAACCCTAAACCCTAAACCCTAAACCCTAAACCCTAAACCCCCTTACTAGGGTTGTTTCAATGTTTGCGGGCCAGGGATGCCAACTTGCTTGCACTTCCGAGCCTCAACCGCACTTTCAAACAACCTTATCCTCTACCCCCCCCCCCCCCCCACGCGTATTCAGCTCAACAGACTCAACTCCCCTCAATGGAGTCCTTCATTGGGGACTCTAAAAGAGAGCGGTGTTCTGTTTCCTGCCGCCCACCTCTCTTCGTCGAGCGCAGCTTTAGCAACTTCCAGGCATGAAACTCGCTGTGAATCCATCGTTTGGTTTGCATTGAAACACCCTAAAACCCTAAACCCTAAACCCTAAACCCTAAACCCTAAACCCCAAACCCCAAACCCTAAACCCTAAAAGGGTTCTGGGGCCATCACAGCAGATCCAAGCTTCGTAGAGTTCGTTGCCTTCGAAACTCGCATCTCCTGCAGCATACTTGCAGGTTCATGTGTAGGGATTAGGGTTTAGGGTTTAGGGTTTAGGGTTTAGGGTTTCGGGTTTAGGGTTTAGGGTTTAGGGTTTAGGGTTTAGGGTCTAGGGTTTAGGGTCTAGGGTTTAAGGGAAGGTAGCTATAAGTACAACTGGCTATAACCTTATTTAGGGCACTTACAACCCTACCTCAAACTTCCCACGAACCTTCTAGTACTCATCCGCTTCCAACTATCTCCCGCTGCCTAGCACTTTTCTCAGCTTCAAACCCTGGCCTCTGCATCAGCATCCAAGACAGGCTGGAAGTGCTGGAGCACTCGAACCCTGGCAAAGACTGCAGCTGGGGACTGCCCATCACGTCTGATTTCACAGCAGTTTTTTCAGCTTTGGTTTTGGGACACACAGACACACACTCTCTCTTTGCCTCATCTTGCGATCGCGCTGACGAAGAAGAAACTGGGCCTGAGAAGCCAGCGCCAAAGACTCTGAGTTCTCCGAGCAGCGCTGCTAGGCAGGCGCTTGTAGAGTCGCCGGAGTTCACGGTGCAAACCGCTTCGCGTCCAGTCTGGCATCTGGTGAAATCTGGTGAAGGCTCGGCTGCTGGCCGCTGGTCGAAACTCATGGGGCATCTCGGCGATCGAATACCTGCACTTTGCGGAAGTCAACAAGCCTAATCCGCCGAGGCTTCGGGCCGAAGGTGTATAGGTTGTCAGCAACCCCCCTCCCCTTTCCAAACCCACTACAGAACATTGGTGAGGCTCAACTGCTGTGAGCACGGCCTGGGATGCATTACACGAGCCGAAGAATCTAAGCTTGAACCGAAACCCTAAACCTTAACCGAAGCACTCAACCCTCAAACCTTCAACAAACCCCCCCCTCCCACCCTCCCCCTGCCCCCCCTTCCCCCCCCACCCCCCCTACCCCTGATGGGCTGGCTCCACCCTACGATTCTTGAACCCCACACCCAAAAAACCCTAAACCCCAAAGCGTGAACCTTGAGCCCTAAGCCCTCACTCCTAAACTAACCCTCAACCCTAAACCCCAAACCATAAACCATAAACCCGGAACCCTAAACCCTAAACCCTAAACCCTAAACCCTAAACCCAACCCTTATTGCTTGGGGCCCAGCAACTTGGGCGCTGCGGAATCACCATGCTCACGCGGATGCGCTGGGCCGGGCCGAGGCGGGTCGCGTAGCGTTAAAATTAAGATCGCTAAAGTTCCTTGAGCGGACATAGTACATCCTTGGCATGCTGGAGATACCAGCACCAGTGGGGAGGGTGCAGCATCGTGCTCTTGTTCCGCGGAGCCATCAGGACGAGATCCACAGCCTTGAGGGGCAAACGCTGACATGCCCGCGGCCTCCCTCCCTTCGCAGCATGCCATGCTGTTGCGTCTCTGCAGAACCCGCAACTCTTTGCATTGCACACCATCGAGAACCCATGAGCCCATCCAACGTCCGCGAGCCCTTCCAAGACTTCGGAACTGTGCTCCTGGCTCGCTCTCCAGTGTTGAAAATCGCCACCATGGCCTTTGCGGGCATACACAAATGGATACTGAGAGATTGATGGATGGATATTGACTGGATAGATAGACAGAGAGAGAGAGAGAGAGAGAGAGAGAGAGAGAGAGAGAGGGGTCTAAGTGTTGGCCTTACGAGCATATTACAGCTACCCACAACCCCAACAAGCCATTCGGTCGGGGCCAGATGATAAGTTCTTCAATGCAAACTCCTGCTGCCGGCTTTAATCTTGGCGCTCCGCGGTAGGTGCCGGTATTTGGAGGCATGTTCATGTTCAAGCCTCGTACATCGTAAGTCTCAAGAAACTGAAACAAAATTGAATTACGCCGCGGTTGTCGGCAACCAGCTGGCGAAGGTCCAAAGTGAGGCATGGCAGCAGCCCTGTACAGTCCACACGATCGCCTCAAAGCAAGTAAGCAGTGTTAATGCATGGTGACTTCACTACGTCTTCCTGGCTGTGGCCCGGTTCTGTGCTTTGCCGGCGTCATGGGGCCTCACTCGGCCTGATCAAATTCGATACATATCTGAGACCTATATGCAATATGTGCCCCAGATGGGATCTCCAAGCTGTACAAGGTGGGATCTCAACACTCAAAACTCACGGCCAGACACGCACCCCAGAGCTAACGCTGCGGCGCATCCGTCTCTCGACCCTACAACTTTGCGTATCCGTGCTCAGCAGTTCGCTGCCTCTTCAGACTGCTGGCCACATCGAAGTCCCAATCACCTCGCCCTCCAATGGTCTTCCAGTCGATGGTGACCGAACTGCCACCGGGCAGCTTATCTTCGAGGATCAGAGTGCTGAGGCGCGAGACCAGATGTCGCTCCATGTAGCGCTTCAGTGGCCGAGCCCCCATTTCTGGGTCGTGGGCAGCCGTCAGTACGTGGTCCACAGCTGCGTCGGTGATGTGCATGGTCACCTCGAGCTCGTCCAACCTGTGAACGACATCCGCAAGCTGCAGCCGCACGACCTGGCGGAGAACGTCACCAGACAGTGGGCTGAAGACAACGACGTCGTCCAGGCGATTCAGCAACTCTGGCCTCAGCGACCGTCGGATCGTCTGCAGCACCATGGAGCGCGCCTTCTCCAGCCCAAGCCCATGCCGAGCCTCTGCCATGAGATGTTCTGAGCCGAGGTTGCTGGTCATGATCACCACACAGTTTGTGCAGTCCACCGTCCTGAGGGCAAGCAGAGCCTAAATCTGCCTAGCTGCACACCTAGCCTAACAACATCTAACAACCATCGGCAGCTAACATCGCTGCACATCGCTGCGGCGTGCGATGCTCAATGACTCAAAGACAGCTTTTCTGGGACTAAGGCTAAGCCGGCCAAGCCCTTCGTCTTCTCACGGTCCTGCCGTGGCTGTCGGTGATGCGGCCGTCGTCGAGGAGCTGCAGCAGCACATTGAGAACTTGCGGGTGCGCCTTCTCCATCTCGTCGAAGAGGACCACACTGTAGGGATGACGACGCAGAGCCTCCGTTAGCTGGCCACCAGCCTCGTGTCCCACATAGCCCGGGGGCGCACCGATAAGCCTTGAGACGGCATGCTGCTCCATGTACTCGGACATGTCAAACCTGATCATCCGCGCTTCGCTGTCGAAGAGGTTTGCGGCCAGCGCCTTTGCCAGCTCGGTCTTTCCGACCCCTGTGGGCCCAGCGAAGAGGAAGGAGCCCGTGGGCTGGTTCCGCCGCGCGAGGCCGGCGGCGCTGCGCAGCACGGCGCGCGCCACAGCAGCGGCCGCCTCCTCCTGTCCGATGACGCGCTGGTTCAACTCCGCCTCCAGATTCAAGAGCTTGGCCTTCTCCCCCTGCGAGAGCTTGGACACCGGAATGCCAGTCCAGCGGGAGACCACCTCGGCGATGTGGGCAGGGGTCACGGTCTCGACCAGGAGCGGGCTCTCAGAGTCGTCTTCCTGCTCCTTCTTCTTGGCCTCAAGGTCGCGGATGCGTTGCTGCACCCCCGGGATGGCGTCGTAGCGGAGATCCGCGGCAGCGTCGACATCGTGGCGCGCCTCCATGACCTCGAGCTTCCTCTTCAGGTCCTGCAGCTTCTGCTTGGCCTTGCGCAAGTCGTCAATGAGCTCTCGCTCCTGCTGGTAACGGGCTCGCAGTGGTGCAAGTTGCTCGGAGACGGCTGAGAGCTCCTTCTGGGCCTCTGCAAGCCGCGTCTTGGAGCCGTGGTCCTTCTCCTTGCTGAGCGCTTTCACCTCCACTTCCAGGTATTGCCGCCGGCGCTCCAGGCTGTCGATGGCCTCTGGTTGAGAGCTCAGCTGCACACGGATCTTGGAGCAAGCTTCATCCAGAAGATCCACAGCCTTGTCGGGGAGAAATCGGGAAGTGATGTACCGGCTGGACAGTGTCGCCGCGGCAACGAGCGAAGCATCCTGGATGCTCACACCGTGGTGGGCTGCGTACCGATCCTTCAAGCCACGCAGGATGGTGATGGCGGTCTGCACGGAAGGCTCTTCCACGTGGACCTGCTGGAAACGTCTCTCCAGGGCGGCATCCTTTTCGATGTACCGCCGGTACTCGTCCATCGTCGTGGCCCCGATGCAGCGGAGCTCTCCGCGCGCCAACATGGGCTTGAGGAGGTTTGCCGCGTCCATGGCTCCATCCGTTTTTCCCGCGCCTATCAAGAGGTGCGCCTCATCGATGAAGAGGACAACTCTTCCCTCGGCATCCTTGACTTCTTGGAGCACTGCTTTCAGCCTCTCCTCGAACTCGCCGCGGTACTTGGCCCCGCTAATCAGGGCTCCGACGTCGAGGGCGACGATGCGGCAGCCCTGCAGCGCTTCGGGGACGTCGCCGACCACGACACGCTGCGCCAGGCCCTCCGCAATGGCAGTCTTCCCAACGCCTGGATCTCCAACCAGGATAGGGTTGTTCTTGGTGCGCCGAGCCAAGACCTGCACGACGCGCCGGATCTCATCATCGCGCCCGATGACGGGGTCGAGCTTGCCGTTCTCCGCATCGGCCACGAGGTCCCTGCCGTATTTGGACAGGGCCTCGAAGTTCTCGTCGCCGGTCTGGCTGTCCACTTTCCGTGATCCTCGGACTTCCTGGATGGACTTCTCCACAGCCGAGATGCTGTAGCCCGCTGAAGACACGACCTCTCTCAGCGACTTCTGCTTCAGCAGTGCTAGGAAAAGGTCGGGCAGGCTGAGGTAGCTGTCGCCGCTGGCAGCCCTCAGCCTCTCTGCCTCTGCAAGGGTACCGCGCATGGCGTTGTTCGGGGCAATGTCCTCTGGCGCCGGGCTCTGGGAGCTGAAGCTGCTCAAAAGTCGGTCACAGCCTTTGGCCACCTCCTGGCTGTCGCCATTCAGCCGCGAGAGCACTTGCGCCGGCAGGGTGCTCCTCTCCTTGACAAGGACAGCAAAGACGTGCGCCGGGTCCAGCTGGAGATGGCCCCTGTCCCGGGCCAGGCGCACGGCATCCTTGATCGCCTTCCCGGCCATTTCCGTGAAATCGGCCCCTGCGGACATCTTCAAGGGCTGCCGAATTGATGGCAAAGAGAGCTGTATGCCAAAATCGAGAAAAGAAATCTGAGCCAAGATGCTTTGCAGGGTTCTGCGAAATTTGCTGTTCCCATCTCAGGTCTGTTGCAGGTCTCTTGCAGGTCTCTTGCAGGTCTCTTGCCACCAAGGGACACCCCTCAGCTTTGAAATCTGGGAGCTGCCAGTCACATTCAACTCCTCGCTTCTACAATCATTCAAGCTAAGAGCTATCAGACTTGGTGCCACTCTACTCGAACCACCACTCAGGTCCTGGAACAAAGGTGTGACTTCCGGCTCCGAATCAGCCTGACAGAGTCTTGCGGTTTCCATGATCGGCAGACTCGCACCTACCCTAAACAAGGTTATAACCAGTTAGAATGCTAGTTACCTTGCTCATATCCCCACTTAAACACACCCATGAACCTGCAAGTACAACCCTAAAGCCTAAAGCCTAAACCCTAAACCCTGAACCCTGAACCCTAAACCCTAAACCCTAACCCCCCCCCCCCCACCTTGGCTTTCTCTGACTCCTCCGACTCGACCGCCGGTTCTGTCTCAGGTGACACCTCAGCATCACCTCCACGACAAGGGTTTAGAGACTCTGTCTTGGGATGTTCCCCTTTATACTATCAGTCCTCAATAGGGCTTCTAGTAGGGGGTACTATAATGCCGACTAAGGACAGTCAGTACAACGGAACCATCCCAAACCCTGCCCCTCTGCCGAACTCCTTCCACCACATCTTCCCGTCATCTGCCTTCTCCCTCGGCTAATCGAGGGATGCGATGCAGCTGGCTCCTCTGGTCTTTTCAACTTGCTGGGGTGCTGTACAGTGGTGTACAGTGCTGTACAGATATATAAGGCCTTAATGTCACAGAGCAGAGCATCCTGGCGGGCAGGTGCTGCGAGGTATGCGACAACCTCACAGCCGGCTGTTGGTGAAAGGCATTGGAAAGCGTCTGCACTCACGCAGGGGCAATCAATGCAGATCACCTGGCGTTGTGCCTCTGCAAGCTCAATCCTGAAATTCGGTATGAGAGCCCTGCTGGACGAAAAGCGTTCGCACGCTGAGCTGGCTTGCCGCCAACAATGAGGCCTCAATCAACAGCATCTCGGTTGCCGAATGTTGCTGCGAACAGCTTGGCACGTGTGCTGGCATTTCGCGGAGCCCCTGAGAGGCTGACAACAACTGCCAGCAGCCGAGAACCTTTCCACACTAGCCCTAAACCCTAAACCCTAAACCCTAAATGCATTGTCCCGTTACCAGACTTGAGCACAACGTCATTGGCCAACCTGAAGAGTGCCTGCGGCCGGCCATAGCGCCTCAGCTCATCTACCCTAAACCCTAAACCCTAAACCCTAAACGACCGGCCCAAGCTAAGCTCCCTGCGATCCAGCAGCACAGCGTCTCGGAAGTGCTTTCTCAGTGGGTTGTCGGATTGTCCCCGTTGAGGCTGGAATACGTCAGACTGCTCAGAGGCTCTGTTCTGATGCAGGAGACGTGGGCAAAGGGATGTGTCACTCGGCCGCTAAGCTTGTGTTCACAAAAGAGCGTCTCATCCTGGAGCCGAAGATTGATGGGCGGAGTGGGCACTGCGCAAGGCCTCTCAGGAAGGCGTTCGGGAGCACCAACCTTGCTTTCTTCCTGCCCTCCCCTTTCTTCTTTCCGTTTTTGTTCCAGAATTGGGTTTTAAAAACGCAAAACAAAGACACTCCAGGTTGTACCCCCCCCCCCCCCCCCCCCACCCATAGCCGAACCCGCCGGCGCCCTGCAAACAGCTGCTCCTCACCCTCTACAAGCCCTACAAGTAAAAGACTGCCTGGGGGAATTGCTAGGACCCCCTAGCATTACAGGTTGAGCGATGCAATCATGATGGCAATGAAGATGTCCCAGCTGCCACGACCTTGTAGTGATGTTTGCCTGGTGGGGCAATGGGGCGCCACTCTGCTTCAGTGGTCTACGGCTTAGCCAAAGCTTTCAAGCGGGAGCTCAAGGCAATGACTGGTGCGCGCTACCCCGATGCTGTTCCGGAATGCACTTTACTGACGACGTCATCTTCTGAACATCCATCTCCTGGACCGCTGCACGCAGCACCCAGCTGCCCACAAGTAGAATGAACTCCGGGCCTACATTTTCTCCCACGGCCAGATTTCAGAACTCTGGGAATTTGAGCGCTTGCCGAACCAACCAGTGTCTGCTTAATCCAGTAACGACCCAATGATTATGCAATTGCGGGCTCATACAGCACCGAAGGAACTCTGCAGCGCTCATCTCCCACCGTTCCGCACCCCAGGCCCCTCACCATCATGCCTGCGCAAAAAAGACGGCCACAGCGACTGCAAAAGCGGCAAGCACTGGGGAAATGCTGGTGGGCACATCTGACTGTCACTCTGACCCATGTGCCCCACCTTGAACCCCCAAGGCCACCCCAGCGAGGCTCCTTGGGACCATGCAGGCATGATGGAAAAAAACTCCTGGAACCAAGTGTCTCACATCGGGTCAGAAGCACGTCAGGAGCTCAGCTAAAGGCTCCGGAACCTGTCGCGAATGCTGAGCGGAACCTCGCGTGTCCTGCGGGCGAGCGTTCCCCCGCACGTGCCTTTGCAACCACGGCGTCAGACATCTATCTCTCCTTCCGTGTGAGCATGCGATGTCTTGGTCGACTGGCAAGCCTTTCAGGTCACAACCACACATCTTCGATGCCATGTTTCGTGTGAACTCCACCAGCCCTCCCCCCACTCATCCCACACCTTCTGGGGCCACCCGGGCCCCCTCCGATTCTGTGCGCCAAACATCCGCTGAAACACCGCCGCCTCAAAGAAAGCCTCGTTGTCCAGAGGGCCTGAGCCTGGGAAGGACGAGCAACAGGACAATATATTAAATAGATTATCTTTCAGAATGACATCTTTTAATTTATTGGACTTATAATATTATTGCTTGAATGTTGGAGTCTCCAAGTACATATGCTAAGTAGGATTCCAAACTTCGCTGTCATGTCCGAATCCCAAAACCTTTGGCAAAGAATCTGTCATCATCAAGCTTCCGGGATACATCAGAATCTGCGCAGTCGACTCGCGATTCGTAACTCGCAGACCCGACACCCTCATATCCGACATAGAACCCTAACCCCGAAGCCCTAAACCCTAAACCCTAAACCCTAAACCCTAAACCCTAAACCCCCAACCTTGTGGTGCCAGAGCTGGTGCACCGAAGCGTGGAGCAAGGGCTGCCCGCTCCTGGTGAGGGGTGGACCCAAAGAGCCCAACACCGCTTAAATAAGGAATATACTGGGTTTAGGGTTTAGGGTTTAGGGTTTAGGGTTTAGGGTTTAGGGTTTAGGGTTTGGGGTTTGGGGTTTGGGGTTTGGGGTTTGGGGTTTGGGGTTTGGGGTTTGGGGTTTGGGGTTTGGGGTTTGGGGTTTGGGGATTGGGGTTTGGGGTTTGGGGTTTGGGGTTTAGGAATATATTGGGATGTTCCCGGTCCCCCTTATACTAGCAGTCCTCATAGGGATTGTAGTAGGGGGGTGGTACAAAAATCCCTATTAAGGACTGCTAGTAGAAGAGGGAACGTCCCAAGGAAAAACCTTAAATCGAATATGATTTAAGGTATAACCCTAAACCCTAAACTATTTAAGGGGTAGTGGGGACCAGGGGATGGAGGGGTATTTGGGGTATTTCGCATATGTAATAGTATTCGGGGTATTCAGAGTATTCAAGAAATTTCGGGTATTTAGGGCATTTTGGGGGTAGTTTGGGGTATTTTCGGGTATTTTGGGGCATCTAGGGCATTTAGGGCATTCAGACATTTAGCATACTTAGGGTGTTCAAGGCGCTTTTGGGTGTGTAGGTAGGTTTGGGGTTCAGAGTTAAGGGTTTAAATCGAAACCAGTACCGTAGGTTGCCGGTCGTTCGCGATCCTTCGGGATCGTTCGGGACTGTGTTGGATCGTTCGGGATCGTTCGGGATCCTTCGGGATTCTTCAGGATCGTTCGGGACTGTGTTGGATTGTTCGAGATCCTTCGGGGTCGTTCGGGAACGTTCAGGAACGTCCGGGACTGGGTTGGATCGTTCAGGACTTCGACTCGCTAGAACTGCTCTCAGCTCTTTTTTCTTCGCGCGTCGTGCTCCGAGGCGCCGTCTCCAGCTGTACAGTTCCAAGATAAGGCAACAATGCAACGGCAGTGTTTAGGATTGTGCAACGATGGCGGGTCGAGGAAGTCCTGCGGACGCTGCAACCACAGTGTGCCCAAGTGGCATGTTTCCGTGGCTCATCATCCGAGTTCCTTTCGACCTCTTAGGGCCTTTGATCTCCCTTTCTCAAAGGATGCATAGGATGCGTCAGGGAGGAGAATCGCAAACCATACCTTCAATGAGCTGAAAAGATCCACACGTCACCTGACCTGCCTAATGTTGAGCCAGCCAACGGTCTGGTTTGCTCCTGTGAAAGCTCTAATTAGATGGCAGCTGCCAATCGTTGGGCAATTGCCCTGGGCAGATTTGAAAGGACAAAGTTACGACATGCAGTGGGTACATTACTGTTTTAAGGCTGGCAATGTAGCGCCCAAGCCTATATCCAGGAAGCAGCAGCTTGTTATTTTCAGGTCAGGACCATACGACCCCGTTAGCATCACAGCTACCAGCACATCATGCTTGTGGGGATGCTCGAACTCTAGTAGGTTCAGCTTCGGCTGCTGTTCCCATGCCACTCATACTATTTTTCAGGTCAGTCTGCTGCCTGAAAGTACATGGTGCACACCTTCGGACTCTGTGGTGACGGTGGCACGTTCTCGGTGCACACCATCGAACTCCGTGACGGAGGCACGTTCTCCTCTCGGATGAAGCTGTGCCTCAGTGCTGCAGTCGTGGTGGCCCGAGCCGCGACATCCTTGGCCAAGAGCTGGTCGACAAATGCGCGCGCTTGCTCGGACACACGGCGCCAGATCGAGGTGCTCAGGTTCAACTT